CTATATACAACAACACACACACACACATATATATATATATATATATATATATATATATATATATGTAGATAGATAGATCGATATCGATACAGATATATGTATCAATACAGATATATATATATATACATATATATATAATCAGGTATTCAAATCGAAATCTGCGTATATTTGATGATGCATATCCCTCTTCTGGCGGTTGTTACCGATAGTCTTGAAGCATATGCTTGTTGTTGAGTCTGTTAAAGTATACTGTTTCTCCAGCTTGCATTTGCTTACCACTAGGCCCTTGATGGCTCTTTATTGCTCAACTTTGATTATATTCTCATCTTATTCACTTTGAATATATAAATGTGTGGCAGTTGTGTACGCCTCTGTGTGACGTGCTGATATCATGCTTTGACTTCGCCTTCTCCTCATGTCGTACACACTCCTTCTTACAACCGCATCCGTATACCTACCAACCGCATTTGAAGCCGTGGTCGTATATAGCAGCCGTAAGTGTGTAGCAAGAGTTGGTAGTGTACGTACTCGCCATCCGCGCTAGCTCTGTAACATGTCCATAGACTGGCCCGCCAGCCAAACCAACTTCTTCCCACAGTCGCCCTCGGTCCAGCTAAGCGCCGCCTCTCTAACGGCGTCTCGGTACTTCTCATACACCTCGTGATGTGAGCCCTGGTACAGTCCCGCATCGACTATGCCCAGGACAGTCTCCACTATCTCCTCGTTCAGTACGTTGTTCTGGAACCCCTGCCAATCCACGGCAATGATCTCATGCTGCGACACTTGCAGTAGGTCGGCCACACCCACCTTCGACCCGCCGAAGACATCCGCAGCCTTCACACAACTCTCGCACACCACCCCGTCACTACCCCAACACACCTGACGCTCTCGCGTACCGTTGACTGCACACCCCGCTTGCTTGGTCAGCAAGTCAAAGGATGTAGCCACCCCTGTACACGGCACGTTCAGCTTAGGAAAGTGGACCATACTCGGGACTCCGAAGGCCGCGGCCTCGCACACCGTCATCCCAAACGCATCGTACAGGCACGGGTGTATGTTCACCAGCGTGCGCTGGAAGATGGCTGCCATCTGCAGAGGTGTGAGGAAGTCTTCGATGACTATAGCCTGCGGCCAAGCGTCTTTTAGTGCCTCTTTGACCTCGTGTGCATATTCAGGGTCGGCGGCACTCCCGCACAGTAGCGGCACCACCCGTGGTTGCTGTTCAGGGCTCTCTGTGGCATTGGTTGCTGGGTGGGGGGTGTGTGGTTGGTCTGACTCAGATGTATGGGGTTGTCCAGATAGCAGTTTCTCTGCGACTTGTTTCATCAGGTGTGGGAATAGAATGGCATTCTTGGGCCGGTCTAGCCGTACGCAACTCACTATGAAACGCGTGGAGGTGGTAGAGAGATTCATTTTCTCAAGGTTTGCCGTGACGATGTCGGGCAAGGGCAACAAGCCTCCGTGACTATGTTCCTCTCTCGCAATCCGTTCAGTCTCCTTCCGCAAAGGGGGTAGCAAGACATGGGGGCGTTCTAAAACTGGCGCATACGTTTTTCCGTTCAGCGCCTTCATTTCGTTTACAACACTTGCCACATCACCGACCGTGCTGGCCACGCCTACGCTGTTGTGTGGTATCTCAGCACTCGCATCAGACCCATCGCTATTTAACAACCCCACCTCCCTAACGTACTCGTTTGTGTTATCCATTAGAGAGTCCGCATCTGCGTCGCACAGTACAATGGTCACATTGCACTTGAGCATAGCCCGTCCCTCGTACTCTCGGTAGAATTCGTAATCACTAGTTGACACCAACGATCTGGTGGCGAACACGCGGAAGTTGATATACACGGCCTTTTGTAACAGCATATCGGCTAAGCGTATACTCTCCAACGCATGGAACCCCGACCAATCTACTGCAAACACCATGTTAAATGCGCCGTATCGGTCCAATCCGAACGCATCTCTGAGCTTCTCGGCCCCGTCTTTGTATGGGGTGTCACTGTTGTTGTTGTCATCCCCACCTAACCATTCTCGATCTTTGTGTGTGTACTGTTTGAGGTTATCTGCAAACTGCTTCCAGGGGCCGTATCTATCCAGCCTGCGCCACAGGCGAGTGTCAACGGGTATTTCCAATACCGGTATGCTAAACCCATCGTCCTGACTTAATACGACGTCTCGCACTTCTGGTGCGTGATAGTGACACTCCTCCATGACACTACTGTCTCGCTTATCGCGGCACATGTTAGTAGCTGGACTTTCTAGTCCATTCCCATTGGAGGTCTGGCTGTATGCAACAGGTTTGGCAGTAACAATATATGTGTCTACGCCTGAGGATATGAGACCACGCACAAGACTCCTTCCTAGCACTCCATTGCCACTGAATATAGGATCCGTAAACTCAAGTGTTACGAACAGCGCCGTGAGTTGTACCATTTTGCGAGGAGATTTGTATGCAGATGTCTGAGTGTGGTTCTAAATAAAAGGAGATGAGTTCTACCGTCTTGAGCGTTACATACACTACTCGAAGCTATATATATATGCTACAAGTGCTTCAACTTTTCGTCGCTTCGGTCTATTCAATCGAATTTTAGTGAGGGATTGCCTAAATGGACTGTCTTATATTCTATCATCGCCTTCGTTATCTTAGGAGAAGGCCGCGGTGGTATGTAGTAGGGATAGAAGGAGGCGATAGAACATAGCCTTCTAAATGAAACATAGGAGCATGAAACGGCAAGGCGTGAATCTTTCTAGAGATGAGTACTAATAATACCACTCGTTCACGCACAGGCTTCACATAACAACGGGAAAGCCAAGAGACCTAAAACTGTATCTTTCCGAAGCCAATTTTAAGTTCTTTTAGGCTTTCTCTCTAGTAACGATTCATTACCGCGTTTCTTTAGTCTCTATCTGGGCCCGTAATTGAGATTTTACTGGCGTTTAGACACTGAACGCATTTGCTTATACGGGAGCAATTGGCTAATGAATTACAAATTAATATCGAATATTGATATAATTGGTCCAAAAAAATTAATTCTAAATTACAATGTATCTATTAATAAATATGAAGCAATTAGCTAATGGAATCCAGATCTATAGTAAAAATCTAATTTATTGGTCAAAGGGAGGACCATACAAACATATCTATTCTATAAATAGATAATAAAAAGCGATGACGCAAAAAGCCCTTCGTCAGTGTAAATATATCACACCGCAGTGACTGCCGTGTTTATACCGTGCATATGACCACTGCTTTTAACAGGCGCCTATCTCACCTGACTCGCCAGTCACCAGTGACACCACCTAGGTGAATTAACTTGTGATTTATTTTATCTTCTTGATTTTAACTCCATGCCATAGAGCTTGAGGTATCACCCGATCCTGTGAGTGCATATATATTGAACGGTTTATTAGGCGAACACAACATCGTGCTAACGACAGGTGACTGCACATTTTCAAATACAAAGCATGCAACGTGGAAACGCACAATCCTACCCCGACCTTAAGCGTATCTGCAGTGTCAATACAATTGAGGAACACGACGAAGGCGAGGATGAAATGAACACAAATCTTCCCTCTAAGCGGAGAAGCTCGCTTGCAATGACTGAGAACAGCTATAGTGATCTATATAACGCTCCGCTGTCATACCAGATGTCCAGGTAAATAAGAAGGTTCAGATACGGGAATACGTGTGCGAAGCATGAGTAAAAGACAGCGTTCATGGAAAGAAATGAAATTACGGGAACTATGCTATTACATACTTTTGAACATGATAGCACAACCATCTCAAAGTGAATCGTTGTACGTATTATGATACATCTCTAGAAGTACACATGTGTGTAGACACGAGTGTTACTTGTGGTTAGTAATTTCGAGCTCAATAAATACATGCATATATATATAAA